AACATCACAGACGACTGCATTGCCATTAGACAAGCACACAATACGAAGACAGTCTGGGAACCAGTTCCCGAGCCAAACCGCAACAACAACAAAAAATCAGATAGCCCGACGACTCGCACCATAGTTATAATATAACGAGAAGACTTAATCCCTAATAGACAACCCAGACCTATCATACCACCCCCGACTAATAGGGAACGGAGAGCAACGATGTCTGAAGAATACCAAGAGAAGGATGATCTCCAACGATACTTCTACACTAGGGACAAAGATACCCCATGGGTACACCCCAGACGAGAGGTACGCTTAGCCAGGAAGCTAGGACTCCCAGTGGCCGACCAGGATATCATCACCCCCGTTGAAGAATACCCGGAAACGGAGGATGAATAAGACTCTGGGCCCAGCCACGGAGGACACTGGACACACGATAGCCTCGGAAACCAAATATGGACAAAACCAATAGAAATATATGACGACCTTGCAAACAAACGACAAGAACCCACCAAGGATAAGCCCGTCTACATTCGCGCCTACGACATACAGCTAGGCCGAAACCCACACCACATAATTCCAAAGAAACGAGAAGATAATAACCTAAGGATGGCAGTAGTACATCCCAACTACGAAGAAATCTCATGGGCATTATGCATTGTTTATACATGCCAAATACACAAGAAAGACAAAATCTATTAGAATTATTACCCCATGCAAACAAACAACACATCCATTCAGAACCCATACTTAAGGGAGGAACTTAAGTATTTCCGCGTCACCCGATGGTATGCAGGAGTCGGCGTCGCATGCTTGGAGGATAGAGGGGATCTCTTCCCACCGGAATGCACCGACCCAACCAGCACCATCGACGACTGCGAAACCGAGGAATGCCGCGCACATGAATAGCAGAAGATAAGGGAATGGCACGAACACAAGAACAAAGACATCGCCAAGTGCGTCGCCACAAGAGCACTACAATGCAACAAACCAGACTGCAAAGAATATAGCTGGGAAATTCAAGACGAGTTCCGACGCATCAAGTTCTTGATATACCGGAACTACGACTTCTCTAACCATAGAGGAACGAGCAGTCTCGATCGAGCCTAGAAGAGCAAAATGGAAGATTGGGAACGCAGAGGGATGACCCCCAGATACAACGACGAAGAAACCGTATGGAACACCCAACCTTGCTCGGCACGAAACGCAATGACCTGCGACAAGCCAGGATGCCCCAAGCACGGCATAGAGGCGCAAGAAATCAATGCACGCATCAGACGAATGCACGACGAAGGATTCGACTTTCCAACTCGAACCGGATCAAACCAAACAGACCAAGCCTGGTACTGCCAAATCAGGAATGGCTGTGACGAATGCTCCAAGGTAGGACATTCTGCAGACAACTGCTACGCAAAAAACGACACACGCCACCTGTAGACGAGCGATAGGCGAGCGACATACATGAGGAAGAACCACCTCTGACAAAAGCTCTATGCGCGACGAAATCAGCAAAGCAAAGAAAGACACTTGAGCTGCAAGTGCGAGTCAAGGGTGTATAGCTCACCGCGTTGGTGGACAGCGGAGCCGAAGCCGTGTACATAGACCCGTCAGTGGTTAATGGGCTAAAGCTACCATGGAAGGACAAAGCGAAACCTTACACGGTATACAATCTCGAAGGCAACAACTTTAAGTACGACAACAGATGGATAACTCGATAGGTTGATCACCTGAAGATATTCGTTGACGGATGGAATTAAGAAGTTACCCTCGATATCATACCAATGAAGCATTACGACATTGTTCTTGGGTACCCATGGCTGATGAAATACAACCTACAGTTTAACTGGAGAACTAGTTAAACATTCATCGATTATAATGATGTGCTCTCCAACAACGACGAAAGCAACTCAGAAAACGAGAGATCTCCAATCCCGACTCCCGAAGACAGCAAGAGCAAGGATCAGCATGAGGACACGACAGATACCTCATCACCCCCCAAGGGAACACAATACAAACACCAGAAAGAAAAGAAAACGTAACTCCAAAGAACAATTAGACGCGTTCAACAACAGTTCATACAGATGAACAAGAATCTCGAAGAATACAAGAAAATACCCAAAGAAGACCGGCTCAAGAACATACCAACACAATACCAGATCTACGAAAAACTCTTCGCGGAAGAACTCGAGATAGGACTACTAGAATTCAGTAAATAGAATCACAAAATTATACTAAAAGATAGGACGTTGCCTATATTCCATAAACTTTTCAACCTCAATAAAATACAACTTAAAGCACTCAGAGAATACATCGAAGACATGCAATGGAAAGGATATATTAGGATCTCCAAGTTATCAGCTGGATATCCAGTTATATTTGTTCCCAAAAAGAATAGCAAATTCCGACTTATTGTGGACTATAGATGATTAAATAAAATTATACTTAAAGATCGAACCCCGTTACCTCTTATCATAGAGCTCAAGAATCGACTCCATAGTAAGAAGGTATTCATGGCATTAGATCTAAAGGGAGTGTACAATCTTATCTGCATCAAGGAAGGATATGAATGGAAAACCGCCTTTCGAACCAAGTTTGGACTTTATGAATATCTTATTATGCCCTTTGGACTTATGAACATACCAGCCACATTTCAACGAATGATTAACAATGTGCTATGCGAGTATTTAGATATATTTATTGTATGCTACCTAGATAACATCTTAATCTTCTCTAACTCAGAAGAAGAATACACAGAACATGTCTATAAGATATTATAAGTACTTTAAGATGCAAAACTACTAGTTAAACCAGAGAAGAGCAACTTCCACGCATCAGAAGTAGAGTTTCTTGGATACATCATCTCACATAACGAGATCAGGATGGATCCAAAGAAAATCGCTGCAGTCAGTAAATGGCCGAGACTAACGAACATCAAGAAAGTACAATCCTTCCTCGGATTCGCCAACTACTACCGGAGATTCATCAAGAACTTCAGTGGTCACGCCATACCACTTACGAATCTCACTAAAAAAGGAGCAGACTTTCGATGGGACACCGCCGCAGAAAAAGCATTCAATACCATCAAGAACATCATCTTGAGCGAGCCAGTGCTGGCAACCTTTGACCCAGAACGAGAAATCGAACTCGAGACGGACTCATCGGACTTCGCACAAGGCGCTCAGATTGGTCAAAGGGACGACAATAGACTATTACATCCCATTGCTTTTTTCTCATACAAGATGCACGGCGCTGAACTTAACTACCCCATCTACGACAAAGAATTCCTTGCAATCGTCAACTTATTTAAGGAATTTCGACATTATCTCCTAGGAAGCAAACACAAGATCAAGGTCTACACGGACCACAAGAACATATCTCACTTTGCAACCACGCAAGAACTTAGCGGACGACAATTATGATACGCCGAATATCTCTTGGAATTCGACTATGTAATCATCCATAGAAAAGGATCAGAAAATGGACGAGCCGACGCCATTAGTTGACGAGCTGACTTCGACACCGGCAAGCCCAAGACAAACGAACAAATCCTCAACTTCAATGCCGAAGGACACCTCAAGCAGAAGTACATCGCAAGCATGCGAAAGACACGACCCCGATCCAAACACCTGAACATGATACACGGGATAAGCACAACCCGAGACTTCATGGAATGGATCCCGGGGTAAGATAAAGATATTGGGTATAAAGAAGGACGCATCGCTATCCCCTATCCATATCGACACGAGATTGTGCAAGACCTGTACAAGGAAGGCCCCTACGACGGAAGTATCAATATACTACGACAGATTGTTAGTAAAACATACAATACCCACGGCCTCCAAAAAGCACTCCAGCACGCAATCGACAATTGTCCGGAATGCTTAGAATTGGACTACGACTGGGATCGAGTTACTGGCGCGACGATCGCCACTAAATGAAAAAAGAAAACCCTGGGAAACACCTACGTCGTCATAAATACCAACGAACTCCAAGACAGGATACAACAATATAATAACGAGCTACCCCTAGACGAAAAAACAGATAAGCTACAAGTTCCCGGAGAATTGCAGCACCAACTTGTACGGGAAATACACGAACTTCCGCCACATAGACATCAGGGAGTCAATAAAACCCTTAATAGAGTTAGAACGACATACCAATTCCCTAAGATGAAGGTAGTAGTAAGAGAAGTCACCAAGCAATGCCTACTATGCGAAAAAACCAAGGCTCGATGCCACAAACCATACGGAGAATTGCAGCCCCTGCCAGTCGCCGAGCAATCTTGGGACTCGATTACTATGGATTTCATTATGAAGTTACCCCTATTAGAAGACCCCGCGACTGGAGTTATGTACAACAGCATTCTTATCATCGTGGACAGACTCACGAAATTTTCCTATTTCATACCCTACCAGGAATCGACAGATGCAGAGCAGTTTGCCTACATCTTCCTGCAAAACATTGTCAGCATTCATGGACTCCCGACGGAGATTCTCTCCGACCGAGGACAGCCATTCGCTTCAAAGTTTTGGCAAAGCTTAATAGACCACATGGGATTAAATCACCAACTCACCACGGCGTTCCGAGCACAAGTCGACGGACAAACAGAACGAATGAACCAAATACTAGAGCAGTACCTTCGGTGCTACATCAACTACGAACAGAACGACTGGGTTGAGAAGCTCCCGACCGCATAGCTAAGCTACAACACGTCAGTACACGAAAGCACGAAGCTCACTCCGGTATACGCCAACTTTGGATTCACCCCCGACGCCTACAGAACGAGCCGAGATGGATTGATCATCCCAAAAGCCATCCTCGCAACAGAAAAATTGAAAAATCTACACAAAGAAATAAAGACCAAACTCGAATTTGTCAGAAACCAGATAAAAAAATACTATAACCGGAAAAGAATGAAGGGACCATCCTTCTAGGAGGGAGATATAGTCCTTCTTGCAACAAAAAATATTAAAATAAAATAATAAAATAAAAAACTGGACTATAAATACATTAGATCCTATAAAATTCTCAAAAAAATCTCAGAAAATAACTACCATTTAGACTTGTTACCAAAAGTCAGACTTCACCCTATCTTCCACATCTCACTTCTTGAGAACACGGAAGGGAATATCATGGCCAAGCTTGGCAATGAGCACGAAACAGAGGTTGAAGGCCCAGAGGAATATGAAGTCGAGGAAATCCTCGAACAATAAAGGATCAACAACCAGACCAAATACCTCATTAAATGGAAAAACTACCCTGAGAGCGATAACCAATGGGAACCAGCCAAAAACATCACCCATGCGCAACGCCTCCTAAAGGATTTTCATCAACGCCAGAAGAAGAAGGCAAAGAAGGATCGAGCAGAAAAGAACCAGCACCTGCAAAACCATCGCTGAGACCAAGGGACGGCCAATCAATGACATCGGCATATACCAGCGACCGAAGGTCGATGGTGGCCTCCAACTCCGCCTGCTCCGAAGCCTCCAACTCCTCCAAAGACTCCAAGCCACGACGAGTCATCTCACGCCCCCGAGTAACCAGAGACTGACGCTGACGGCGAGCGCGCTCCAGAAGATCCAGCGATTGGTCAAACTCGGCCTGAGCGGCCCGAAGAGCGGCCCGCTTCTTGAGGAACTCCTCCTCCAACTCCGACTCCTTATCACCAAGGCGCTTCGCCTTGGAAATGACCCGAGTCACTACCCTCATTTTAGCAAAAGAAAAACGACAGGACCAGACTTAGACTCATGCAAGTAAAGAGGAATACCGGTCCCATCGCAAGGACGACCCTTGTCGGTGCAAAAACCACATTTCTTGGAACCATTGTCCAGCATCTTGCACACGCGCCCGTGGGCAATGCAGCGAGAACACGGCATCACCTCAAAACCAAACTCCTCAATAGCGGCAGCAAGAACTAGCGAGTTCGTAGTAGAAACCGGGACCTCGAACCCTTCTGCAGAAACAGCTAAGATCAGTTTGCTCGCTGTGGACTTAAGGATATCGCGGGATTTCGAGGGACGCTTCGAGATTCGACTGGACATCCTATCAGCACATCGGAATAATTAAGGAAGCAAGTTGGAAACATACCAACACACATACAAGAAACGGTCTTGAGCATGGCCATGGGACATAACCAACGGGAGGGGAGACATCATATCACGGCCCGGGTTGAGACCAGGCGGTCACAACCGGCAGAACCATGACGTACCCACTTTTCACCTGACACAGATCCCGAACTCACCCCGTATAAGTGAGCCCGAGTGTACGACTCACTTCCCCAGGATGAGCCACAAGATCGGACTCACTCTCACCTAGTAAGCCTACATAAGCGCTACTAGTATATAGACACTCCTTTTGCACTTTCATAGACAGATAGCCTCACTAGCTATTAATACACTTGGTTATATTGAATCTACTATTCTACTATTACCAGACCGTGACCTATATTGCTCACTACGACATCCTGATCCACTCGATCATACACCACACGCCTCGGACCTACCCTATACCCTTAGGTTAGACCCGACCGTCACAACTTAGCCTTCTTCTTTTTTATTTATTTAAGCTTCTTTATATTATTAATACTATATAATATAATATATAACGTACATGATAAGCGAGTGCACAATACAAGCGAGTGCACAATTTTTCTTCTAACCGCCCTCTTCCCTCTTTTAACTCCATTTTTTCAACCACGCATTATGTCGTCAATAAGCAATGAGGCAAATATCAATCTTGCCCTTCAAGCCCTTCAGAAAGACCCTCAATTAACTCCCTACCGCGCCTCAAAGATCTATAAGATCTCTCGCCATACTCTACTACGCCAACGCGCCGGCATTACTTCGCGACGCAATACTATGCCCAATTCGCGTAAACTATCTGATCTAGAGGAACAGACTCTTCTTGAGTATATTCTTGACCTAGATTCGCGAGGGTTTCCCCCGCGACTGAGCGGTGTGGAAGAAATGGCCAACCGATTGCTCGCCGACCGCGACGCGTTACCTGTCGGCAAGCGCTGGGCTTCTAACTTCGTCAGGCGACAACCAGAGCTTAAGATGCGTTTTTTTCGTAAATATGACTATCAGAGGGCTAAATGCGAAGATCCAACCATTATTCGCAATTGGTTCCGGCTTGTGGAGAATACAATCGCGAAATATGATATCGACCTAGCCGATATCTACAACTTTGATGAGACCGGCTTTATGATAGGCATAATTGCAAGCGGAATGGTTGTTACAGGCGCAGAAAGGCGTGGAAACCCGAAATCAGTTCAGCCTGGAAACCGGGAATGGGTCACGGTCATTCAGGCGATTAATGCAGAAGGCTGGGCGATCCAGCCATTTATCGTGGTTGCAGGCCAATATCACCTCGCTAACTGGTACCAAGAAAGCAACCTCCCGGGCGATTGGGCTATTGCAACGACTCAAAATGGCTGGACTGACAATAAGACGGGTCTTGAGTGGCTTAAGCATTTTGATCAGCATACAAAGGATCGATTGATCGGTCGCTATCGTCTTCTAATCCTCGATGGGCACGAAAGTCACCACTCCGTCGACTTTGAGAAATATTGTGAGGAGAATCAGATTATTACGCTTTGTATGCCGCCTCATTCGTCTCACCTACTTCAGCCTCTTGATGTCGGGTGCTTTGGGCCGCTTAAAACAGCCTATGGTCGAGCAATTGAGCAATTGATCAGATGCTCTATAACCCACGTTTCGAAGACCGAGTTCTTCCCAGCCTTCTACGCTGCCCACGCAGCCGCTATGACAAGGAGTAATATTGAAGGAGGTTTTCGAGGAGCTGGACTTGTTCCCCTAAACCCAGAAAATGTCATATCGAAGCTTGATGTGCAGCTACGGACTCCAACACCGGCTGCAGAGGAGGTCGGCCTCCCCGACCCTTGGGTCTCGAAGACCCCAAAGACAGTGCTTGAGGCCAGTTCGCAGTCTGAATATCTTGAAAGACGAATGAGAAGGCATCAGAGCAGCTCTCCAGCATCAATTCTCGAGGCGCTTAAGTCACTTTCAAAGGGAATAAAGGCAATAATGCATCAGAATGCTCTATTGAAAGCTGAGAACCAGATCCTTCGATAGGCAAATGAGACTCTTAGCAAGCGGCGCAGAGCAAAGAAAACCCGCCTATGTAAAGGAGGGAAGATGACTTTAGATGAGGGCAGGGGTGAGATAGATCAGAGAGACGTTGATGCACAGGTAGCAGCTGAATCGTTGAGAAGTAGTGGTCGAGGGAGGTCAGCGATACCGAGGGAAAGGCGCTGTGGAACTTGTGGAAAGGCCGGTCATAATGTAAGGACCTGTCAGACTATAATTAAGACCTCTGAGGAAGAGCATAGCGATTAGTTTTAATTGATTGATTGTATTGTTGTGGTTTTATTGAGGTTTGAATCTTAGAGGTTAGGAAAAATTGTGCACTCGCTTGTATTGTGCACTCGCTTATTATATACGTTATTATTTTTTTAAATTATAATTTTTTTTATTTTTAAAGATATTTAATTTTAGTATCTATTTAATAATAAGTATCTTTAGCCTCTTTTAGCTTAAGTTTAAAATAAGTATAATAAGTAGTAATTTTATATAGCTATTAAAAAGAAAAGCTATAAATATTATAATATAATAAATTAAGGTAGATATACTTAAAATATTAAGAATTATTACTAGAAGATATTATATAATTTATATTAAATTATTTATAAAAAAAATAGAAAGTTTTTATAATAATTTAATAAGATAAAATAACCTTAAGAAGAATATTATAATACTTAGTTATTAAAGCGCGGAATTTATATTTCTTAATAATACAATTAAATATTATAAATAGAAGAATAAGAAAAAAAAAGAACTTATTAAATAAGATAGATAAAAATACAGTATATAATAACTAGTCTTAAAGATAAAAACTAATAAAGGGGAAATATTATATTATAACCTATATCAAACTAAACTCTAACTTTATTATATATACTAATAGCATACCTACTTATTCTATTTTATTATATATAAATTACCCTAATTATTAAATAATTATAATAATCTAAAAAATAAGAATTATTAAAATTATTAAATAATTCTTATAATTTAATATTCTACTATAATTATATAGCCAACTAAGTAGTATATATTCTCTATATATAGCTACTTAACTATTAATATAACTTAATTACTTTAATTACCTTAACTTACTATATATTACTATACTTAACTATTACTAGATATAATACCTACTCTATAAGTAACGCCCTAACTATTCTACTAATATAAATTTACAGTTTATTTACTAGCAACTAGCCTTCTACCTACTCTAAACTATATCTATAGCAGACTAGAAGATACAACTATTATATATAGGAATATTATCTCTATATTTAGGGGATTTTTATTTAGCAGATTATTCTTATTCTAAGGTATAATTTTACTTAACTTAAAGTTAATAGTAGTAATATAGAATCTCTATATATATATAAATATATTATAAGTAGCTTTTTCTATATTAATTTCATAGTAATTATCCATCTAATATAAGCTGTAGTTATATAGACTACTATACTCTTACTATTTATACTAATTGCAGTAATTTTATAATATTAAATTTCTTACTTAGTATAATATTCTAAAAGAGATAGTATTAGCAGTAGAAGTAAAAAGTAGCAATATAAGAGTTCTACTATAATAGATAGTATAATAAAGCTATTCTCTCTAGCTTAGTAGCAGCTAGCTAGTTATTATACAGAAGTATATACTAGTAGAGACTCTACTAGTATAAATCTACTAGGCTAAATATAATAAATATACCAGGACAACTAAAGTTATAAATATAAATCTTAAAGTCCTACTTTTTTTTATTTAAGAATAGATATATACTATAAATAGAAATTATATATCTTATAATTAAGTTAATTAGTATCTATATCTTAGAGTCCTTACTATATTTAAGTACCTAAATAAATTACTCTTATATAAGCAGCTAATACTTTTTATTATATTACTTTATAAAGAATCTGGACTGTAAATATACTTATAACTATATTAGTATATTAAAAGTAACAAAGTAGAAGGTCGGGTAGTGTGCAAAATGCCTGTTATGCTAGCGTATTATATACTTGACGTAATCCTTATAATTAATAGAGTATAATCGAGGTTTAATAAAATCGGCTCTACTATTAGGAAACAGGCAGGGAAACGCTAAGGAGAGTAGGGTATAAAAGCGATTGAACTTATTAATGGGTGTATATTGTATATTCCGGAGCTGCAGCTCGTGTTGCGCCTGGAAGCTTGTGGAAAGCCTTGAATCAGCTTCTGATTCTCCGGCGAGAATAGACTGCAGAGCATCTAGCTCCGTGTCCTTGGCCAACAGGTCTGGCGCTGCAGCCTCGTCCTCCAGGTTAGGCTCTGCCACCTGATCTTCCTCGGGTCCAACATCCGCAGCCTCCACCTGACCTGGGGGATGGCATCCAGGACACTGCGTCTGTCTGACGGCTTGAGTGCTCTAACGCCTGGACCTGCTGCAGCCTTGCTGTTAAACCAAAGAACTTTCTTAACAGCCGGCACTAATCCTCTGGAAAACAGGGAATGGACGAATGCCGGCATCCCCCGAAAATGGATTGTCCCTAACATAGTGCAGTGGCAAGGGCAGAGTGGAAAAAGCTTTGATTGGAGGGGTGGGGAAGCTGGCGGGCCACAGACCGGGATCATGGCGGCTGCTGTCCTTGGTGTCGCTCGGCCTGGTTTGGGTCGACGTCAGCATGGCCATCATGATAGCGTACAACACCCCTACCGTCGGCTGGGGATGCTGGTCGGGCTCGTACATGACCTACGGCCTTCTCAGCTCGCTCCCCTGGGGCCTCCACTCTCTGCCGGGATTCAAGCATCCCCGCCCGTGGCAGCGGGCGTGCTGCCACCTCCTCAACGCCGTCTCGACTCTGTGGCTGATCTTCATCCTTTTCGCCCACGTAAGAATTCTCCCTCTTCCCGCCTAGAAATACCAATTGCGCCTTCATGCTTATGCGAGACAGATTAGTGGTATGTTTAACGACTGTATATGCAAGTCGGCTCTGCCCGGCTATATGGACTTTGCGAGTTCCGTCTTCTATCTAGACCACTTTGATGTCGACAAGTGGTGGAGGAGAGGCGCCATTGTCGGAGCCTTGCCCAGTGTTGGGAGCTCTCTCGCCTCAGTCCTGCTGCTTATGAGGCTCAAGCCTCTCTGGCAAGCCTCCGAGCAGCAAAGTCCTCCCGCTTGTGCTCTTGGCACCGACATGGCCTGGCTCAGGTAGCAGTGCTACTAATAATTAAGTTGAGGATCCGTGTGCAACTTCCACCCTAAACGAGAGGCCCAACAGTAACTCCTTTGGCATCTATTCCATTTTGGGACCCCGTCTCTCGTTTCTGGCAGGAAGGTGGCAGGAAGAGGCGACCTTTTGCCGTATCGTGATTCAAAAACTCGGGCAAAGGCTTTTTGGCGCTTATTCATCGATTTTGCACTGATGTCCATGCTCGAACAGTCGTAAAAGAAACAGAACAACTATCATGACCTCAATTGATAAGATCATCATATTCTGCTACATATTCTACTAAATCCACCCCACTGTTGCTCGATCTACCTGCCGCTGGGTAGAAGTTGAGTGTTTCGGCAGGGCGACAGAACACTGGTCCAGTTTCGCTCACATCGCTCACGACCAGGTTGTATACCACCCCATTTTTCAACAAATGACGTATCAGAAACTCCGAGGCGAGGTTTGTCGTCGGCAAGTCATAAAGATTGGTGCTGGATTCCCCTGGAAGCAGTACCGTCGGGGGGATCATGGCTGGGCTTACAGAATTATAGACGGCTCTCCTTTACGGAATCGTTCGGTAGGAGCACCTTGTTCCTGCATAAGATTGAGGGCCGCATCCAATAACATAAGGTGTAAAAGACGAGCATGGTTTTATTGCTCTACCGGAACGCTCGACTTCGGCTATGCGATTACGTAGGGTTTGCTGCCGCTGTCGCTAGCAGTTGTACATAAAATCGGTGGTCTCGTGGCTTCGGTGGCCGTCAATGATAAGAAGCCGCTTTGAGGGCTTGGTCGGCTTAGTCAATGGAATGAAGATCTTGAGGGGCCATTCCAATGCGATATCATTCGAAGTCGAACCCTTTTCTAATGCAGCACAACTCCAGCGTTCGTATCCACAAGATCCTCAGGAAACCATTGGTGCTGGACCGTTAATCCATTGAATATAACCAGCCGAGGAAGGGCAAGAAGGAAGGGCAAGACCAGTAGCAGATATCGCCTCTAAGATCGAGGTCCAGGTGCGAGAATCTGGACCCTTAATAGGGGCAAACCTATCATCAGCATGACCGATAACTAGACCATTGCTTCCTTCGCCTTCTTTAACACCAGCTTCATCTATATTATGCCGTTTTTCTGGAGGGATCGCTTTAACCCCAGAAAGGGCGAATCTAGTGAAGGATTTCTTAAAATTCTCAGTAAGTGTTCCATCTGCGTGGCTGAAATTAATGACCTTGCCTATATCACGCAAGCAAGACTTGAGTTCTAATCATACGAGGTGCATTGGTACATTAAAGTATCGCTTGTAGTATGCATGGGAGGCTGGTGTGGTATCATTGCATGAACTGATGCTTGGTCAAGGCCGACCGGGGTTTCGCGTGGTTCTTTTGCTATTCAATTCGCGCATGCAACTCTTGTGGCACATCTCAAATTTAGTTTGGCGTTTCTGTGTTCGCGCAGCTTTGCCTAATCAAAATTTCCTGCGAATAGTTGTAGCAATGATTGACCAAAGTGTTAATCAGCTCTGTCTCCGGAACCGCAGCCCAGCCTTAAGTTTTGTCATAGCGTTTACCAAGGAACCCTTCCCGCCTTCAGAACTGATCCAACTGCTCCTCTTCTTCTTTCCTTGATCAATTTGCAGTTCCTCGTCGCCGTGTTTAATAACCTCTTGGCCTTCTTGAGGCCTTTGGACATCTACCTCCTGGCCTTGGATGGGAGTAGTGTCTTCTTCCGTTTCACACTTCACATGGCTCTTGGAAACTTGATGTACCCAAAGGTCTTCCTGATTCTCGAAAACATCCTCGCACTCGTCAAATCCACAACAAAGGTTAGCCCCTAAAGAATTCGGAGCTTCCGGAGCTTCCGCAGCTTCGCCAGCCGTTGCCGCGCAGACGAGGCAGGAAGCCCGTTTCTTGGATTGAGGAGACGCAAGGTCCATCTGAGGCTTGTACCGACGGTCGTGCAGATGTACGATTGAAGACTTCAGAGTTTGTTGGACCTGGACTCGTATCTGAACGCTGGGGAGATAAGTCGCTACCGCGTTTTCGGCCTTCCGTATCATCAAGTCCCAGAGGTCCTTCTTCTGATACAGATGTGTCTCCACGTAGCAAATCATCATCAAGGTATCCACCACAGCATCTCGGTCCTCACCTGGCTCGCCCTCATCGTTCAGGTCTCCAATGAGTGTGAGCACGGATCCTCGCGTTGCAGGGCAGAAATGATTCGCTAGTTTGCGGCGAAGGTCATCATCTAGCTGGAAGATGCCCTTTGCAGTTTGTGAGGCCACAATGTCGGACCAGGGGCTATCGATTGAGATGGCTATATAAGCATCGATGGTCGGTGGAGTTTCAAGAAACTCGCGTACTTGGCTGTGATGGCCAAAACCCTTCTCCAATGGGTCGGTGCCATGAATGTCCGTCATTTCCGTTGGTGCCGGGCCAGAGCTTTTGTGTGGTAGCTTGGCGCATCTGGGGAGGTATCTCCTATGCAGAAGCTTGTTTTTCGGTTCTTCATCAAAGGATGCGCAAGACGGTTTCCAAGATAGATCATCAAAGGAATCGCTAGACGAAGAAGGAGAATTTGCACACAGAGGTTCAAGATATGTCGCGGATGCAAACGATTGCCGGGATCGGCAGCGGGGACGTCCAATATATGAGCACGCGTGACTCGGAGCATTCGAAATATAAGGTGGTGGTGGCGGCGGCGGTGGCAAGCAAATATTGTCGTTACCGATCGACGAAGAGCCTGATGATGCAGCATAGCGCACTCCCCGTGGTGCCGTCAGCCACGCGCGCTGACGTGCCGGGCTTGTCAGGAGGCTCAATTCTTTGGATGGCGCCTTATACATGTTGATCTCATCGATGGCCTGTGTTGCTCGATCCACGGCAACAAAACTGGTCCACTTGCTTGATATTGAGTACATCTCTCCCATTCGCTCGGCGTTCTGGCGAGCCGTTATCTGCGAAACGTCTTGGATAGTGTGACTTTCAAGATCCACCAACGCAGCTTTAACAGCTAGGTGCTGAATTGTGCTTGCGTCTTCGACTGTTGGAATCACTGGTAGATTAGTTGTCGAAGTTAACCCCCCATCTGCCTTTGCTGTGACAGTTACTTCGGTAGGGGGATTTCCGGACTTCGACGAAATCAGGAAGAAGACCGATTTCTGGTTGAAGTGATGAAGTGCAGGAATTTGGCGCGGGGCTTGGATATAGCTGGCGAGATTTGCGGCTGACGAGGCGCTGCTATTGGATCCGACTTCCATAAAGTCATCAACTTCCAGGGACTTGACTGCGTACTCAGGTCCAAGGTCGATTTGGTACGTCCAGCTCTTTGGCATCAAGGCGCCACTGAGCATGCGAATGACTCTTCCCTGCCAGTCTCCCTGACCATCAACCCCAGCCACCTCGCCAAGGCCACCACCTTCCCCCGCTATGCCTTGGATCAGGCGATGCGATACCTCGTTTCCAATTCCGAGGGCAAAGAATCTGACCTGTTCCCCAAGTTCAGAAGCTGTTTTGCGAACAAAGCCGATGGTTTCTTCAGTCTTCCAAACTTCACCATCTGTGAGCAGAATGACCTGTGTCGAGCTGGCATCTTTGATCCGACGTTCAACAACCTGTTTCAAAGCAGGAAGAAGCTTAGTTCCGCCCATGTCGTTCTGGAATCCCGAGACGTGAGCCACTGCGGTTTCTAGATTCTGCTGGTTGTATGGCTCGGAGGTGTCCCATAACGAGGAAAAGTCGCTTCCAAAGGAAAAAAGGTTGAAGAAGCAGGTCCCAGGAAGACTCTTCAAGAACACGCCAAGAGCATCTCGAAGTGTGTTGATCTTGCTGCCTGCCATGGAGCCAGACCGATCAGCGAGAAAGATGATTTCGCCATTGAATCCATCCAGAGTGGGCAGGTCTGTAAAGAGCTCGCTTGGCTTGACAGTGACCATGAGTGCCGAGTGGCCGACTGCATTAGGAGGCGAGAGAACAGCGCCAGAACGCAACAGCGATGATCCAGACGTCTGAATTAGGAGGACAAAGTCTTTCCCCATGCTTGCGTCTCTTTCAGCAAGATGTGCCATTGCTCTTCTCGGGTCGTATGCCTCGTCTCTGCTCTTCTGTTTTGCAAGGTCGCTGAAGCTGCTGGCCTCTGGAGGCTGACTGGCTCTTCCAAACTCGACCGACACAGGATGGGTGCGACTCTCGAGCTTCTTGACATGACCTGAAGAAATCACGGCAATATCGATCCTGAGTCCGGTCTCGGTCACCTCAGATGCGCTTGAGATACCCTGAGGTGAGTGCCCATATCGCGGCGCAATGGAGGTAGGTATGGTCAAGAGCACACCATCCCCTCCCAAATCCGGCTCCAGCTCATTCACGTACGTGATTTCGACCCTGATAACAGACTTTCCAGGAATATTACCGATCCTGGTCTCAAAAACCTCTGGAGTATGCTCTTCAAGGAGTGCGGCAGCCTCCATCTTCTCAATCGCCCGGGTATACTCCCGCTTAGCATCCGCCTTCGGCTTGACCTGACCCTCCAACAGCTTCGAGTCGCCAATCTCGCATCGAAATGATGTGACAACTGCGCGATCATACAGTGGGAATGTGTAATGTGCTTCTGGGATGTTGTCTGCGGATATGTTTGTGAATCTCTGAACGAGCTTCGTGCTCGCGATGGCTGAGTCCACACGTACGTTCACCGTAACGTCCAGAAGAGGTAGGCATAAAGCTGGCTTCTGACCAACGGCCAACTGTTTCTGGTGATTGGGGAACGTGGGAAAGACTGAGGCAATAAATGGGTGGGCATTTGCCTCCAAATCAAGCCCAGGAGGAGCTCGACCAGGGTTCGCAAAGAACACGCCGGACGGGAGTCGCTCCGTCTCAAGGTGATGGCTAAAGAAGGCAGTCATATTTGACGCGAAATCGGTCGTTGTACGATGGGATAAAGACGAGGGCCAACGAGTATGTCTCCCGGGAAAGGCAAAAGAGAACGAAGGAGATGATTTGATCTCAAACTGTTGGGAACGGAGCAAAGAGGGGAAACGTGTTGAGTTAAGCACTAGGCACCGTTTTCAATCGATGTTGTGGTCAGCCAAGAAGGCAACCAGACGCCTTCTTTTTGAGCCAATGGCAGATGCATTAGTGATTAATAAGAGTCCTTGGTTTCATCATGACCCTTAGCTAGCGACTTGATTGGCTATGTTTCAGCGGGCGGCTGAATTCACACACTAAATGTACGTCAGACACTCCTGGCGGACCATCGGACACAGCCGCCTTACAGCCACCTCACAGCCACCTTGAGATAAAACTCAGCCTACACGCATCAAAACCGATGAAGCCTTGATTGTCGGAAACTTTCTACGTTTTGATCATCTTTTTCCATTCAAACCCCTTAGAAACGTCCTCATGTCCTTGCCATCACCTCTTTCCGTGGGCGATGCGATCCTCTTGGCAAAAATTGCGTACAACGTTGTGCAAGCCTTCTCATCGGGCGCGAAATCGGCACCAGCCGAGTTTGCTGAAGTTCAGAGACTCCTGGTTTCGGTCAAACACTCACTCGACCTCCTCGCAAAAATGTTGCCACAAGATCCAGAAAAGGCAGCGCCAGGAGGCTGTCCAACCGAGGCAACATGGAGCGATGAAATGTATACCGCCCTTGCAGATATACGGGAAAACTGCGGTGCGGTTCTCAACGATCTCGACCAATTCGTTAAAAAGTACATGATTCTGGACAAGAATGCTGCTGGTAAAAATGAGCGGAGATGGGGAGATCAGATGAAGAGAAGCTGGAAGAAGGTCTCATGGGCGACGGAAGGGGACAACATCGATAAGATGAGAGGCAAGCTGACAGATCAGGTCAACGCGTTGAACTTGTTCATTGTAACAATGAGGGGGTAAGGCTCACCTATATCGTCTTTATCGTTTTTCGCTAGTGACCTCATGTTGCTTTAGCTAATGACCACAGTGACCAACAAACGGCAATTCATGGGAAGGTCGAGACAATTCACACCAAACTACATGAGATTCATGAATGGTTCACCGAAAACCTGAAAAAGGAACGAGATTCGGCCTCTTCCGCGATGCAGCCCTCTCAGGCCGAGGAAACGTCGGCAGAGCCAAGTGGGCTGGAGTTTGTCTTATATGAACAGCTCACTACCCCTTCAGGACAACAAAAAGTCCTCATTTGCCCCCATGCCACGTTTGAAGATCCAGATCCGTCACCAGGTGGCAATGCCAATCGTCATTACCCTTCAAGAATTTTCCGCTGTCTCTGTTCCTCCCTGAACTCGGGAAGCGAGACTATGACCGCTCGCGATCATTCGAGTCAGCGGGCTCACACCAGTAAGAAGTTCTGAATGATTGATTTGGAAATCATACTAACAGCACCAAGTGCTTCCCGTCAGCCTCTTCGTGCAATCGATTCACTCTCCCCCCGACAATCGATTTTCTTGGCAGATCTATGTTTATTCGCCTCTCTCAAACTCTCCAGTTTCCTTACTCCTAGAGCAGGTCCCTCCATTATGTGAGTATGCCCTCGGACCTATGAAACTCTTGATACTTGATTAACAGCACAATAGTTCTGGCCAAGTTCGAGGGATGGGTGAATAAGCTCCGGGTGTTTCAAGCCGCTACACATATTGCACATAACCTCGATACCGCTCTCGTGCTACATAAGGATGATTCCGTGTCTATCCTGAATATGAAATCGTTAGTGAGCGGACAATTTCACGATAGATGAATGCGCTAAAAGATGTGAAGGGATGTCTCTTACTTTGGGGGGAGTGTCCCTGTGCGTTTCATTGCGAACGGGACTTCATTCTTAGTGAAGCAACCGTCGTCATTACAACTTCTGCACTACGCGTCCTCTCTGCGAGATTTCTTGGATCCTGATCTCGACTTTGGATCAGCACTCATCGACTTCGCCCCCGAACCCTACCTGAACATCCAGATAGTTTCCAATCACCGTGTAGGGCTAGCAGAGGAGCAACGGTACAGTGTCCAACGCAAGTCCCCAGGTTTCTAGTTTCTTTCTTAAAATAACGCTTCTTAGTACACCATGATACGCCCGTAACATCTTTCAAAGGGCCCAGATTCGTCACCCTACAAGGATGTCTTTGCACGCATGTATCCGGTCAGCCTTCGCAGAATTCCGAATCACTCAACTGTTCTGAAGTGGAATTCGAATTCCTTGACGCTTCTAGTACGACAATCTCATAAATACAGCCTCAGTCCTAATAACTGACTGGTCTAGTGGCTTATGAATACATTGAGAATCCAAAGGCGATAAAGCGCAGTTTGCATTTGTATTACCTGCAACGACCAAGATGGGGTGAGCAGGTCGTATACCAGAGGTAAAGATTTAATCCAAGAGCACAACTGGATATGCAATACTGAGACACACCTAGAGATGTTGGGGATGTCATGATTCGCAGCCTAGTTTTGAGCGATGCAAAACTCACCATCATTGTTGACCCATCCACTGGTAGATACAGAGAGATCCTCTCACGCAGCGACCATTCCGCTTCTGTCTGCTTTGAACGTCAGTTCCGAAGTTTCACTATGCTCAAGTCACTTGGGATGACTTTGCATCGACTAACTTGTTACAGTTCCACCGGACTTCCTCGCAGAAGTCGCTATGGGCACGACTTCAATGCGACCCAACCAGGCCGCGTGGTTTGTGGAAATGGGGAAGGACGGAGTCAGGATCGAGAAGCAAGATTGTGGTATTGACCTGTTGTGTCTGCTCAGACAAGACAGTGAGTGTTGAGGCGAGCGAGTATTCCGGCATCCATGTTGCTAATCTTATTCAGTGCATCAGGCTCTCAGGCCGAGTTGATCAATAAGTCCAGATTCAATACGATTTGCTTTGGGATAAGCGGACGAGTTACATAATCTTGTCATCTCACGGCAACATCAATTCTCGTGCCCTTCTTTCTTTGTGCGAGCATGTCTGTTTGAGGGTCAAAGAGGGCATAGCTTAGTGAATGGTCATTCATACTACGGGTAGCACTAGAACCTACAAGAAGATTCCTCAACAAAGACCCACAAAAAGTTAGATTTCCTGTAGTCCCTATGACCCTCCGAGGCAATGCGGTGCCGGCCAGAGAAGGTGTAAATGGGGCAACTAATAACTGGAGTTATAGGGCTCAGAGATCAATCTTACACATCACCACCCCCATCTTCTATTTTATTGCTATTTACCTGCGTCCCTTACTCTTCTCATCTGGCTCATAACAAACAGGGTGGCCGGGGTTCTGGCGTCGCCTTACGACCGTCGCCGTCCCCGCGATGATATGGTCTGAACCAGGGTGGCCGAGGTTCCGCGCCACCAGCGACGTCGCCTATGTCAACATCATCTCTAGGCCCTTGTCCAGCTCCTTTTCATACCGAGCATGGCCACGTTTGTTTGCCCCCTCTGCTTCCCGCTTTCAGTGCACATATTTACGACGAGGACAAGCCCCGAGAGAGGAACCGGTGAGAGTCCCGCTTGACGAGATCCGCCAAAGATTGGACGATCTGGACCGACACGCGGAAGAGCGTTTCCGGGAAAGAGCCGCAAGACTACGATCACAAGAGGAGACCGATGAGTTCGACCGTGGAGGAGCGGAAGAGGCGCGCCGGACACAACCACCGGCAACTCCCGAGCGGATCCGTAGGTCAGGTGCGTCGCTGTGCTGCAATTATATGCGGTGACACGAGCATCGATCTCGTGCAGAAATACCGATGGCTCTTGCCAGTCTGGTTCTGGACGACCGTCTCAAGGTCCCCGACTCTCTTGGTCGGTAAGGCTGTACCGCATGGATGAAGTTGACGATGCGGCCCTCGCAGTTGAACACGCCCGAAGTGAAGCCAAGCCTCGAAATGCTCCTGCGTATGGAATCGCGGATGATGTCGAACTCGTTCTCCGGCAGAGTAGTCGGTGTCAGGTTTTCAGCTTCCATGAAATCGCCCTCGGATACAGCACCGGGAAGCTCTCCAGGTGGCTGTCGTTCTTTCGCTGCCTTCTCTATTCGTTCTGGGCTCACCGGTGCCTCACCTGCTATACCTCCCATCCCTTACGACAACCCTGGTACCTCCTCCGCTTCCCTCTCGACTCTATCGCCTTCTGGATTATGGTTAGAGCCAGTCATACAAGCAGAATCCACCTGTTTAGATGTCGTGGAAAGCTGCAGAGAAGTGGTCGATGGTATTGCTTTGCCAGATGGAAAGGAAGCTCCAGATTCAGCCAAATCCCCCACGGCCATGTGCACGCTCAACGACATTAGCCGAAAGATGATGCTTAGTGGCCAACTTGGAAACGATGCCTCAAAAAATCCACCTGCCTACAATAGCCTGAACGGCGAAGATGATAGATGGGAAAGTTCCCCTGAACTTCATTTGGCATGTTCAGAGGAGTCAAAAAATGAATTCGGAGACTCGGAGAAGCCCCAGCCAGAGATGCTCATCAATCCACCAGATCAACGCGTTGATCAATATATTGACATCAATCCACGTCAATATCAATCCACGGCTGGTTAGCTGACATAATCTATCAATCCACACAATCCTCTCGTTGATGGATATTGATTGATGATCGTTGACACTAGACATGGGGCCCTTGCTAGGCTTGGCAATATTAGATCTAGATATCTTCTCCCGAGTAAAACATATGTTATTGTTAACATGTACTAATACCAAGTAAAATAATAGCTGAATTACTTGAATCGCGTCGTGTCACGTCGCGTCGCATCAGAAAGCCCCTACTTGCTACGCTTTCTTTCGTAACAATTATCGGTCATGGCTTTAATTATGGCGAACCACCCAAGCCAAATACCTATTAACTCTATCTTATCAACTGACAACAAACCTGCTATGTCATTTAACTGGAATCCAACCTCTGAGAAAGAAGCCCGTATCTTCAAACAGTGGAAAGGATTCACGCTAGCTAAACGATTAAAAGATACCTCATCTTGGGTATGGGGATACGATATTGAGATCCAGTTCGAGATAATGAGACGATGGATTTATATGCCCTATATCCATTAAAGAAGTAATAACCCGCAATCCTACGATTCTAGAGGCATATAGAATATAGAATATTACTTATAGAAATTCTACAGTTATTAAGATCCGTTAGGAAAATATCCAATATCCTCTATAATAAAGGAAGGGAAGAGGATATTCTCTTCTATTATAGATATCTTCAATCTCAGCCAAAATAACCTAAAAGAATAATCCCTAGCTAATAATTTAATTAAAAGCTTTAATTAAGAGTATTTCTAAAAGCTTATTATTAATTAGATTATTAATAGTTAATAGTCTTTTTAATAAGTTAAAAACCCTTGCCTATAGTATATCTTTAAATATCTAAATCTTGCTATAAAGATTATAGATGCCTATATCTCGAGGCATACTATTTAACAGCTAGTAATTTAATACTTTAAGAAATATAAAATAAGGGTAAAGGGAATACTAAAGGAAGTTCCGGGGTAAATTTATATTGCCTTTAATGGTATTAGGAGTAGGAACTGGTATATGCTATATAGAGTTATAGTATTATTTAGGAATGTTAAGAATAAGCTATAAAAAATCATCCTTAGCCTTCCTAAATTAATTAACTGCTATACTAAAGAGAATATAGCAGTAGAGGTACTTGATATTACTTATTTATATAGTATTAAGAATAAGCTTAGCTATTTTACTTTTAATAATATTAGTAATAATAATATAGTAATAGAGATTATTAGTTAAAAACTTAGTTTTAATTTTGTATAGTACTGGGTTTATTATATAGGATATATATTTAATTTTATTATTAAGGCTCTACTCTTTAAAAAAGATATTAAAGTTTTTAAAGAATCTCTTATTAAAAAAGAGCTTCTTACTAGAATAGTATATAATAAGTATATAAAGAAGAGCTTAGTTAAAAAAGCTTATAGCTTTATTATTTAGATTTATTAGTTATATATATTAACTTAGCTACTATAATAGTTATATCTTCTAATCTGCTATAAATATAATCTAGGGTAGGCAGAAGGCAGGTTACTAGTAAATAAACTGTAGGTTTATATTAGTAGAGCAGTTAGGG